GTGTGGGAAGTCTGAACATGACCTATCTGACCTCCAGACTGCACACAAAACCATTCATGTGTGCACACAAACAGAGCTGATAATAAAATGCATTTCTGCACACACAAAGATGCCCAAAGATGCCCGCATACACAGACTCGGCTGATCTATCCATCCATGAGTGGAGGTGTGAGGGGTGGATGTGCTAATCGGACAGACTCTTCCGGATCCTGGGGGATGTGACCCATCACCTCGCGGAGAAGACAGGCGAATCAGACAGACCAACTCTTCCCGTGTCACAGCAGGGGGTCTCCTCTGGGAGCTATTCATGTTTGTGTGTAGGCATCCGGGGAGAAAGGGAAGCTCAAAGGTGAACAAAGGTGACACTTGGAAGTCAATCCATGAATCATCGATTTGAAGCATTTTTGGCTCATGGGGGAAAATCAGGGAAATATATCAAATAAGAAAGAAGACCATCAGCCTCAGAAACCATCAGGCATGAACGGTTGGGTAGTCTCCAGCTGTTTAGGTCCAGAAGATACTATAGACAACCTCTTTAAAAGCTCGGCAACGTTCCATATAGATTGTCAACCCGTGTGTGTTAATCGGACATCAGGAAGCTTCAGGTCAATGGAGCGGGGAATGGATTTTCTCTGGTCCTGACAGGGAGATGCCGTCTGTAATGCTTTCTACCTGTGGAGAAATTAACAAGCCATTTAGAACAGAGGAACATCAACTGGCGAACTTTCATTCCACCTCAGATGCAGAACTGCCTTTCACTGGGTTGGAGAAGTTGCGTTGAGTGTTTATTTGAACTGTGAAAAGTTTGTTAAGAATGAATGCAGGTTTTGAATGAGGCAATATGGAACCTGACTGGTGGTCATAATAAATGTTAATGGGTTCAAGGCATTATGAAACATGTGACACATAAATGGAATAAGGTATAATAACAGTTGGGTACATGCAAATCCTTTTGTTTTAACAGCGACGGCCTCTTTGCATTACAACTAGTCTACTAATGGGTTATATTCAAAATTACAGTGACCTCAGATACTCCACAAAACAACTGAGTTGTTGTTTATTAATTTTTCTACCAGCAACCCTGAGGACAAGTACTAATCAGGCAAGAAAATTATTCATAAAATAATTACTTGCAGCTTTATTTAAATAAACAATTAAGACTCAAGTGTAATATTTGCCTTCTAATCTGATCAAATCTTGCAAGGGAAACTAAAACCTTTTTTCAAGTATATCTCGATACAACATTTACATGCCACGTGTCCTCATGTTGAATGAGTTAACAGTTGCTGTAGTGATCCTGCGTGACTACAGAATTCACAGTGCTCATTCTGCACAAAAATGCATTGTTGAGACTTCAGCAGTCTGAATTTCTTAAGCGCAATTTATGGTTGGTATACACAACACTGACATATCGCCTTACAAAGTTAATTTTTCAGCAACATGTTCACATTTATAGATTTGCCTTCATTGGAGCCGTGTTTCTACCTACCAGGCAAAATTAAGTCCAATATTCACTCACACTTTTAGCTTTGTTTTGGTCACCACCACCATCTCCTGAGGGAAATATCTGTCTCATTAGCAGCTATAGGCACCACTATGTTCATCAGCTAATTGCTAACTTTGTATGTCTGTTGTTTGGTGCTGTGCAGGTAGTGTACTGTGGGTTTATCAATGCCATTTTGCCAAAAGAAGCTGCTGCGATCAGAAATAAAGTAACAATAGGCCTAAAGTTGGGGGCCTTAAAACCAAAACAATAAACTACAGATGCTAAAAAGCTGTGTAAAGTTTAGGGGAACTGCAGATTTGGGTGATAATTCTCTGTGGATTCTTTGACGTGAAAGACATATTTTACATTGCACACAGTCCTTTCATCCATTGTTAATGTAAGAATATTGATTACAGCAGCTAGAACTTCATCATTCTGGTTAGTCGTCAGCGTGATTCATAGCAAGGTGGAAGCTTGAACAGCTAACACAGACTACATCTTCACTAATATGTCTATGGTGGGCTGAAGATTGGCACCACCTGTACTTAACACCCACTCCTCTCCTTCAGACTCGCTCGCTCGCACACACACACACACGGCTTTTTCTGTGCACCATAAGTTAAGAACGGTGACAGTAATCCATCTCGTTGCATCCCCCAACCATTCACGGCTGTCACCTTCGCCTCACCAGGAGAAACTGAACTGCTCACCGGATTTAGGGGCCCTATAGATACCACTGCCACTTATGGTGCCCCGGTTCTGCCATGCACTTGATGCAACACACATTGACAGATACCAAAAGACTCTTCAGCTAAAATAGAATTCCAATTTCACTGGGTTCAGCGTGTGATAAAACACAGAGCCCTCTTCAATTGTAACTAAACGAGATTAAAGAGGAAAGGAGTGAGTGTGTGTGTGTGTGTGTGTGGGAGGGGGCAAATACAGATCATGGCTTTATTAACTATGGCAACAGAATTTTGCATGCAAGGAGAGGTGGAGGAAGGGGAGGGGGGGGGGTTGAAGAAACGAGCATCTTGCGCTTTGCAAGGAATTTATCATAATGTTCGCGCTGCAAGATCATTTGCCTCTTGACAGGATCATTACGAGATTCAGTGCTCCCACGACCATTACGCAATTTCAGCGTTCCTCCTTGGATGGAATTTTAATTGAATTAGCCCGGCTGGTTACACATGGTGCGAACGATAACATTTTCTGTCTATCTGGGCTCATTGAATCCGCTGGGGGGGGGGGGGGGTGCTGACGGTTTAAGGCAGGCCATAAAAAAAAGAGCAAGGTGGTTTTGGTTCTTTCCAATATGCTTTCTTCTGGGTCTCTCTCTCTCTCTCTCTGTTGCTCCTTGCCTTCTTGTTTAACAACAATACCTGCCATGAAAATCCCGGGCCTGGCCTATCTGAGCCGGCTGAAGCACCGTATTATGCACCCAGAGCCACTGTTCCGTCTAAGTGCCCATGTAAGCTGAGGGCAGTGCGAGCATGATGTATGGTTAGGGGGTAAAAGTGTTAGTATTAACACCTCCAGAGAACAAACCTCCACCAGCCACTCAAGTACATTCCCATAAGAATGATTAATGATGCCGGTCAAGTTATGAAAGGCAGGGAGACGGAGGAGGGAAGCCATCAAGCTGCAGGCAGATACAGAAAGCTGCTCTTGAATGTGAACATTTTGAACCTTAATTCTTTGATACTGAATGAAGCAGCCCATTAAGAGGCTGAGTATCAATAGAAACATTTCAATCTAGTGCAGATACTACACGGTTATTGATATTTAAAAAAATTATAATTTTCTCAGTACCTTACATTGAGGGTTACAAACAATTTTCAAATGATAAATGTTGAAACATACAGGAGCTTTGCCTCAACAATATGCAGTCTAAGAAATGGCAAAAACTATATGCCTAAATGCAATCGCCAGAAAAATAGCTAATGGTCGGCTTTAAACGATCCACCACGGTCGCATGAGCTTAGTATACACAACAAGGCTGCAAAGCCAGACTAGTGACCTGATGATGTTTTGTGGTCTCGTTGTTAGCAACCACTTCTTTTAAGACACTTAAAAGCTTCAAAAATTCACGCGAGGACTTGCTGCACACCATTAGCAAAGTCTTGAACCCTAACCTCCTCCGTCAAGGTATAAATTGCTCCACAAAAGAGAGGTGTAGTTTCAAAAGCAGTTATGACACACAAGTCAATGTCAAAATTCACCATTTGAATAACTGTGTGAACTTATTGTCCTTAGTGCGACTGAGCAAGTCGCTGATTTATAGTGAGCTCACCGGCTCAAAGAGCATGTTTTTTTCCCCTTTAGAATTGTTGCTCCTTGTGTTGTTGGAAAAATATGAGTCATAAGCAGGTATAAATGAAAAACACCCAAAACCACTTAGATTGCTTCCCTTACCTTGGTCACTGATGATGAGCATCTCTTCAAGGTTACACAAGTGATTGGACAATCTATGAAAATGAGCGAGATGGAGAGTTGCAGGTACATAGTCGGACTCACAGTAGCCTGGGCCATATTAAGGAGTGGAGTTATAGACCCCATGCTACAGTGGAACATATCCATGTATATTAAAGGCTGTAATGGGAACATATTAACCATCCTGCATAACTACTACCTCCTCCATCCATCTATAAAAAGTGCACAAGTCATTAAATAGAAATCTCAAGCCACATTTTATTTAGCAAAAAATGTTTAATCTCTCCTTGATGTGTGTTTATTTACAAGTAGTAAATCTGCAAAATAGGAAATAACAGAATATTTACATAATGAATGTTAACCTGCAAACTTGTGACAGTCGCTTCAAGTCTGAAAGTCTGAAAATGTATCAGTTACTGTCGTATTAAAATTCCTTTGCCATCTCCGTCTGAAATTCATTTGCTTTGAGTTTTCTTGGATTCTATGTAACACAAGAAGAAAAAAAGGACAACTAATGAATTTTCCAGAATTTAAAGAAAACAGGAAAACAAACTAAAAACAGAATGGTGCCAGGAGTTGCATTTGATTCGATTTTTTTTAAAGGTAAAAGTGTGACTAAGCATGTATAAAGAGCTGAGAATTAAACATGAGATACATGGCTTTGTGCTGACTCTGCTCACACTGAAGCCAGTGTTTGTTCATTTCTTCTGATTTGACCGCATCAAACCCAGCAACTCTCTTTCAAACTGCAGTCGGCATGTTGTTCTTTTGACAGGTTCTTCGTCAGCTGATGCTTGCTTCCTCCTGATGAGATCAAACACCCTTTTGACAACAGACATGCTGTATACCACCTCCACAACAATTAATACGAGTCAATTATCACACTAAACAGTCGTACACTGGGAAGTTTTCTCTAAATATGCATCCAGACTTGCATCCAAGCAGGTCAATCTTAAAGGCCAGTAGCCATGCAAACGATAAACTAGCCAACTCCCTCAACACTCAACCAAATTACAAGCAGAATACGACACAACTGGAGCATGAACCTGAGAATGAATTGAGAATGTTTGAGTGTCTTTTAAAAGAAAGCCTGACAGATAACCAACTGGGCACTGTTGCCACACTTGGTTTTCCGTCCGTGTGCTTTTGCAGGGGGCGAGTGTATGTGTCCCGACGGTACACTGTGCTCATACTGATCATTCAAAGAACTGCTGTGAGCTCTGGCCTCAACAGTCATGTATTTCCTCGCCATGTGATCTACAGTAAGAGCACCAAAATGTACGAATGCAGCAAAAACTCAGCTGTACGCTGGAGAATAATCAAAAAAAATGCTTTGAATGCTTGCATGTGGCCTAAGCATGTTTTGGTGGTGGGGTTGCAGTACTTTCTTTAATATAGATGATTTAACAGACATTATTTAATGTGTGAAGCCAACGTGGTCAGCTGAAATGGAGACATTTCTATTCTTAGACGGGCCGAGTGGTCCCTCAAGATTATTTAGTTTAGCAGGTACAGAGTGAACTATCAAGTCCCTACAGGTATCCAGTTGAACTAGGCTCGTAATGCAGCTCAGACGTGTAAACAAAAAGGTGGGTTGACATTAATTTGGAAGGCGTGCTCACTATTCCTGGATGTGAGAGTAGATTGTTTTTTGTTTTTTTTAAGGAACCTGGCGTAAAAATGGACAGCGACAGCATTCATGATCAGCATAAAATGACAGCCCTAATGTTTGATAGAAAAAAATGTTTGATACAAGAGTTAAAGCAGCAAGTCACATTTCCATCACAAAGACACAGATGCTCATCTGATGCAACAATTTCATTTCGATCCTCGAGATCAGGAAAATAAACCTCAAGTTCGGTCAAGTACTTCAACTTCAGGCAAACTGAAGAGGATTTTGTCTTCTGTGTACCGTAAAATGTACAATTTACATGTTACAAAATAAAAAGACAAAAAAAACAACAACAACCTGATCACAAAAAAAAATGGCAAACAGCTTTTGTTCATCATGAAAAAGTATACAATTTACAAATTAAAAACAACAAAAACATTATACAGACCAGTTTGGTTTTTTCGGCAAGCAGAAAAAAATTATCGGAAAAACATCATTTCTCACCACAAAGTCAAAAGCCCTGACTTAAAAAAAAAAAGAAACAAATAAATCCTCTTCAGAGAGCAGTAATAAAAAAAAAAAAAAAAAAAAAAGCTTAAGCCACACATGGCAGTAGGCTAGTTCTGAAACAAGAGCTGCAGGCTAAGGGGAGGATTACTCAGCCTTGTGTAGCTAATGAACAGAGGTGTCTCACCTCTTTATCCTTCTACACCTCCCCCTCATGGATAAAAAGCTAAAACCCCAGTCTCAAAGAGATAGGTTAGAGGTGTCGAGAAACACATTATATATTTTCCTTGTCCCTCTATCTGGGTGTCTAGTCTGGCTTTAGGCTGGAACCACTTTTTCCCTACTTTGTTTCACTAGAAAGGGGCTCAGCTAAGCTCTACCTTACCTCACTGTTTGCTCCTTTAAAGACGTAAAACAGCGTCCGAGAGCACCACGACTTTGGCTTTTCTCTAACAGGACTGTTACGGAAAAATGAACAACACAAACTCAGGTCATGTGTAATCCTCAGTGTTGGATATGGTGGCTACGTGGTATCGGAAATATTTCAGGTAGTGCAATGTATCTACTTCATTGTTCGGTTACTATAACATGATCCACTCGACTATCACTTCTTGACCCTCAACAACAGAACCAGCCGTGGTGCTGGACACGAACGTGGCCGTAAGAAAGCAACAGTCCTGTGAGTGTATATTTGGTTGTCTGAAACCAAAAGATTGCACTGATTGAATTAGAAACAACAGCAACTTCATTTTATCACCATGAACTGTCCTAACTCGAGAAGGCGGACGACTCCGTGTCGTCTCACTTCCCGTCGTTTCCAATAAGGATCTTATGAAGGGTCATTACTCAAGCAGTTCTTTTCAGTCACTAGGCATGTTCATATTTAAAATTATACGGTAGCACATTCCATCTAACAAAATGTCTTTGCACTAAACAACATTCAAAGAAAACATGGCACAGTACGACTTTTTTGTTTCTTTTTTGTTTCTTTTTTTTTTTCGTCTACAATGTTTTTTCTTTTGTACTTCAGACATCAAATCATGTTTTATTGTTGGTATTTGTATTGTTTGTTGGTTAAAAAGGAAAAGGAAAAAACTAAAATGTTTCCTCCCTAATCTTTCTTTAAAAACGTAGCTGTATTTCTATATAATATCTATATCATCTTCCTTTGTAACGTTTCTGTAAATTGTGCAAATTCAGCAGTAATACAAGTGGCGAGAGATCAGAGAGTGGGCAGTTGATTACATCTGTACAAAAAGAAAAGAAAAGAAAAATATAACGGTGACACCCGTTGGAGTCACATGACCTAGAGAGCCTTTCTCCATTGGCTCATCACAGACTGTTCCATTCTGTTAATACCATAACATGGAGTTTCTTTCCAGGCCTCCATTGTTTCTTTCCTGACCATCGCTTCATCACGACAAAACTTCCTGAAATCAAAATCAAGCAAACAACAAACACCAACATCCACAATAACCAAATGCTGTCAGTTGACATGTTTCTCCAAGTATGCATGTGTGAAAATGTCTGGTGTCCCAGTCCCTCACACAGACACGAGCCCACACACACTGCATGGGGCTGCAGACAAACACACACATACACATGTAAGCGTACACAGGCCCGCCCATCTCAGCCGACCCCCCCCCCCCCCATTTTGCAATATTCTGCTATGGTCCTTTTTGCAGTTCGTCTGTTCGTATTGTTGGGGGTTGGAGTTTTGTTTGTTGTCTGGGTGAGAGGAGCGACGGAGAGAGACAGATGGAGAGGAGGAGTGAAGAGAAGGAGGAGACGGAGGTGCCGGATGGTCCTCAGCTGCTCAGGGCCATTGTGTCGATGACCTGCTCCAGCTTGCTCCTCAGTCTCTGTCTCCTCGCCTGCTCGTCCCGCTCCAAAGCCGACAAGATCTGAGGACAGACAGGGGAGGAGGTCAGTCAATGTCACAATGTGCCTGCTTTTGCTTTCAAGACATGACGTGATTTTTTCCACACAAGGCTGCCAGAGGACACCAACATGCCACCTGGCTGGTTATAATTGATACATACCATAAATAGAAAACCTGGTATCCAAATAATGGCCAGCATATGCACAAATAAAGGCCTTTAAATTACCTGGCTGTAGGCTACGACAACAGGCTCTCACATAGTCAATTTATTATAACGTACCTTCCCACAGCACTAATTCCATCAGTCCAACAACAGTCAACACATACTCACCACGACGCCGCTCTGAATTTCAATTTTTAACAGAAATGTTCTGCTTTCTGTTACTTTTCTAACAGAACAATGAAACTCAACACTTCCTGTAGATTTTTCACAATAGCAGCATACCAAGGTCGGGCAGGTGAGAAGACTTTTCACGTGAAAAATCAGCAGGAAGTGAATTAAAACAATATTATTTTGAGAGCACAGTGGTGAGTATGACGTGACTCTGTTGTTGTACTGAAGGAGGTAGAGTTGTGAAGATGTACATTACACAAAACAACAGGTAAACATAGAGGAAGTTTTGAGTTTGCTTTAACTGGGAAGCATTGGCATTAAAAGTGTGATAACAGCCTGGTTCTCTTGTCAGTGTGCTTTTCATGTACTTGCTTTTGGTGCTACAGTTGGACGGATCCTGTTAACTCTTTTAACCGTTCAGGTTAACAGAAATCAGTGTTTTTACAATAAGCCAGGCTTTTTGTTTTCTGGACTAACCTACAGGATGGCCAAAAACAAATCTCCATAACACAAAAATAACGCTTCTCCAAAGTATGTAGGGGAGATGTAACGGCCGACAATCAGCGTTAAACTGTTGTTAAATGAAAATATCTCTGGAGTGTCCTCAGAAATGGCTGACATCTCACCTCATCCTTGTACTTGACAATGTAGGAGTAAATCTCGTTTAGGGCCGACATGCTATTGAACTGGTTTGCGTGCAGGCGCGACTGCTCTGCCAGGTAGGCACTCATGTCCTGGTCACTGATGGCCGGCATCCTGGAGATGTCAGAGTAGTACCTGGAGAGAAAAAAGTCCCCACACACAGTTTAGATATTGACAAGTCAAATTTAAAACAGCTTTCAAACTAGACAAATGTAGTTAGCGTACCTCTCTACCCAGTTCTTATAGTTGGGGATGTCTTTAGCGTAGAGCAACTTGTTCGAAGGAGAGTCCTTCCCTAGCTTATGCTCTGATGTTGAACAGGAGTCCATGAAGGTCTGAGCCACCACAGACAAGCAGGCGTCGGTAATGCTGTTCTTATGGATGTCAAAGACAAACTGGGGGTTCTTGATCACGTTCACCCAGAACCGAAGAGGAAGACTGGAAGGATGAGGTGGAAGGAGAGAGATGAAGGAGTTGCACAGTTAGAAGGACTATTAAGGTGCAAAGACCACGGCCATGGATGAAGTTACACATACAGCCCGGCTGAACAAAGGCTGCTGGGCTCACAGTCAAAAATGTTTTCATGCTACAGCAGGTTCTCCACAACACTAATGAAACACAAACCAGCTACCAAATGATGCCCCTTTCTCTGTGTGTGCACACACAAACTCACCAGTTGCTCTTCCAAGTGTGCCGTACATCAGAGTCTGATATGGAGTGTTTGTCTGCCTGCTCGTCCAAGAAGTCAAACATGTACTTGATGGCGAGAGGCAGGGCGCTTCCTCGGTGCGCTGTGCTGAAGATGGTCTCGAACAGGTCATCCACAAACTTCTGGAGTGTACCCTGAGCAGGAGAACCAACACTGACTTAAGTTAGTGTGCAAAGAAAACATTTCAATTCCTCTTGCAGGAGAAGATAACGTCTGTGTTTTCTAAAACATGCTGAAACATCAGAAAACAAACTAGCCCACATTCTGTGTACCCAAATGTAAACACCAATAATGGCACATGTGAGCCTATCAGGGTATCAAGGTTTGACAGAGGACAGGATATGCCCTCTGTACATCTACACAGCCAACAGGAATATAAAGCTACAGAACGCAGTTGAGTTATTACACCACTAAACGGCCTCAGCCTGCATATTCCTCTTTGCTGGTGATGGTCTGTCTGGAGGCGATGGCTGTCAGTAGCAGGTGTTTGAGAATGACGGTGCTCTGCTTTTAGTACTCCAACTTTTTTGGTTGAGAGTTTGTGATGGTGCCGAGTGTTCTGTACAGTATTTAAGATGGGGCCCACTGTGAGTTCAGCCTGAGGATGTTCTGCAATGTTTTGTGTTTTACAACATTACACAACTTTGGAGATTCTGAATCCTCACAAATTCCTCCTAAGTTTTAAACAATTTGATGTATCCCACAAGCATTCAGCGCATTATTTTGCATCTTCAAGCACCTTTTACAAAACCGTATTTAAACCAGCCAGAAGTTGAATTCACGGTTTTGTACTTGTTCACACATCCACAAATCAGCTTCCTAAACACACAATGCTGTGGGGGCTGTCATAAATAAGAATAAACTGCAGTGCTCCAAGTTCCCCTCCCTTGTCTTCCCCTGGCTTGCATGTTAATCATTTCCCAATCGAGGCAGCATTGATGCCGCTAACCTTGCACTTTCCTACCTGGAGCTGGAACAATGGAAATCTAGAGCTAATGAGAGAAAAATCAGGGGAGAGGAAGTATCAGGTTGAGCTGAATCACCAAGGTAGTTAGTATTTGCAAATGAGAGCAAACACCTGGCACAATTAGTAGACTCTGTAGGCAGTTGCTGTGTGTTTGTGTTCATAAACTATTTGTTAATGAATGCATGTGTGTTTTAAGGGTTGTGCAAGCATATTTGGGACACAACAGCTGGAGTCCATGTGTTTTCTGTGTATAAGGTGTGGCAGAATAAATACAAAAGAAGAGCTGTCAACTTACTGTTGACTGAAGCGCAATTCAGACGCCTCACCTGTTGCTGCCTTAGTTTTTGTTCATAGTTTTGTATGCTTTCTTAAATCTGTGTCATTTCGTATTAGTCCTGTTATGATTATCCTAATATGATTTTTTTATGCCATCTTAATTTCCTTCTTAATCATTTAGGTAAGATATTAATGTGAGGCAAATGTGAGATACATACAGGTGCAACTTGCTTTGTAGGACATTCGTGCATTGGACCATAAACATGAATAACCTAACCAACCGTCCAGTTGCTGAAACATTCACAAACCTCTCTCAATTGCTCTTGAAACAGCTCTGGTAAAGATGCCATCAGTGTATCAGGTTAAACAGTCCCAGAATATAAAACAGTCTCAATGTGGCAAATGCTGTTCCACAAAACATTTAAACTGGAAACTCAACAACAACGTTCTCAGGGAGGTTTATCCAGGACACCAACACAAACAGCCCGACTCCAAGTTAACCTTTCAGATCATCGTCTGAAGACAAACGCTGCATGAAAACCTGAGCGCAGCTTCCAGTGTGGCCTGGAGGACATGGCCTGGAGGACATTTGGTGAGTAATGATCACAGGCTAAAGGCTTGAGCCTGAAAGCCCCGAGGCCACCAACAGAGGGCCCAGTAACACCGACCAAACAGCTCAATAGACAAAGGTCAACCTCCTAATTAAGACACAATCACTAATTCCTGTGCATATGTGTGTCTTTGTGCAAAAGGTTATGAAAAATGTTAATGAGCTTTGAGACCGCGGTCATACAAAGGTCAGGGATAGATGCTGCTGCTGAAAGTGGGGTTCATGACAGGGATGTGCTGGAGTGGGCTTTTTGAATGTTTTATGTATATATATATGTGTGTGTGTGTGTGTGTGTGTGTGTGTGTGTGTAAATATACAGCTTCTCAATACCTTGGTGGCCAGCAGTCTGGTCAGGTAGATCTCAGAGACCATCTTGCTCCCTCTGTCCCCTTCCCTCTGGTCTGAGTGGTCGTGGTTCTTAACCAGGTGCCACAGTTTGGTGCCGCTCTCGAGGTCGGGGGTGATCATGGGTGTTCGGGAGCGCAAGCTGTCTGGACTGCTGGCTGTCCTCAGCATACTCTCTGGAAGGAAGTGGAGGAGGAGAGTTGAGCGAAGAGGGCAAAAATAACATGAGGAAGAGCAGATAGAGTTGTGTTTTGTAACATTGTCCAGGGAGAATGAGGTAAATAGGGAAAGAAGAAGAAGGTCAGAGTGTATTTTTTCCATTCACAAGACATTCTAATCGAATCTAACCTACATAAAATATCAGTGAGACAAAGAATACCATGCACAATGCTTGCTGTGGGTTTGAGCTTGAGAAGGCAACGGTATTATTAGATACATATAGTCTGTTAACATATGAAGCCCATAGCTTGGTGCCAGTTTGTAGTTATATTTGGTCTTAATTACCACTTCAAGGACAATTACCTTTAAATTAAGGTATAAAAACACATGACTAAGAAATGACGGGGCTATAGAGAGCCACATCTCTGTGTGAAGTTAAAAGCATTTCTGAAAGGTGACAGCTCCTTCTACTTTCATGTCACTCTTTCGTTTCAGAATAAATTTGTCTGTCACTCTCTCCTGCTCCTTCCCTCCCTCCCTTCCTCCATCCTTTTGTTGGACAGTGATCCCCTATTTTGTGACACGGAGCATTACGCTCTCAGTTTGAATGCTTGTCACTTCCGTAACAAAGCAGGAATGGATTGAGAGGTTCAAAATGTCAGGAGAGAATGTGAACCGGGGAAGTATAGAGTAAGGGTGGTGGGGGTGTTCGTGAGTATTTATGTGTATGTGACGCACACATACGGCAGAGCTGAGGAGCACAGTTACTGTACGCCAGAGAAGGATTTCAAACACAGACAAGAGAGATGGAAGAAGTGATGGCTACCTCCCACCCAGCATTAACAATGTGCCTGATGACATCTGAACTGTGTCTAATATATTTGGCGTAAAATGAATCTCCATCGTACATTTTCCAAAAATCCTGGGTAATATTCTTTTCCCAAAACGCACACTGTCAATTGCTTTCATTCAAGTACATTTCTTTGCTAGTTTGTCATCCTGACAATCCATTTGTGACGACTGCATTGGACCTCAATTGCTGTGAGCAACCATGACCTCAAGCTGTAAGAATGGTCTCAAATGGACTCGGCCTGGCACCGGCTAAACTTGTGTTGGAGTCACCCAAAACGCAACAGGCTCCAGCACTTCACACATCCATTTGTCACTGTCGGAGCCAATAATCTATCAGTGTACATAAGTACACCTTGGATCAGCAGGAGTTACATTACAGTAAACAGTGCAGAGTGCCTTATCAACCTCCTGCTATAAAGTGTGCTATACAGTACAGGTGACAAAGTATGCTATTTTTCTTTGCTACTTTTTCTTTGTGTAATTTATTAGATTCCGTTACAGGTGGATTTCATGTGCTTTCGCCCTACACTTCACTATATCATCACCAAAAAGGCATGCAGAGAGAAGCGACACAAAACCAGTCACTCTTCTCAATGTCAAATTGTGCTGCAGACAGCCGTCATGTGTGTTACTTAGCTGAAAAGTTAATATGCCACTCATTGTGTAAATATTTGATTTGTTCATTATTTTAAATTTAAGAGTAGTTTCAAGTTAAACTGTTTATAAACTAAAACGTTTAAAGGAAGGGGGCACCAAGTAGTCCACCAGTTCTTGAACTGATATCTAGTTAGAAATGCATTTCCACACATACAAGCACCTGTACACACACACACACACACACACACACACACACACACACACACACACACACACACACACACACACACACACACACACACACACTCGTACCGTATCTGCTGAGGGACTTGGTGAATGTGGAGGAGTTGGAGATGTTGTAGGCCGAGTTCTGTTTAGGCACCAGGGCAATCACCGAGCCATCTGTCACCTGAAACAAGGATTTTCAACATCAGTTAGCACCGCTTAAATTGTCCAGCAGCAAGACTACAGTCCAACCACACAAACAGTCACTGCTACTTTATGTGTAAGAGGCATTCTATTAAATGAAACAATGTGAATAAATATGACTACTGTTACATTTCAATGAGCTGAAATATACCAAAAACAATGACAACCATAACACCAACTACTGTACTTGCATGGATTCCAAAGCAACGATAATGCTCAACCTATTCAATGAGGAGTTATTGTTCAAACGAGTGTATAGCATATTGTCAGATATAGCACGACAAAGTCCAGGACGTATTTCCATCATGGGTCCCTGTTGATCCATCAGTTCCTCCTTGCAACAACAAGATGGAGACAGATGTTCAACGTCCAAAGCAGGGGGACACGATAAAAAAGACGTATCATGGGATTTATGTTGTGCTTGAGTACCTGGTAGTGAGCCAAGGTGTTGAGTCTCTTCCAGTCGTTGTCTATCTTAGTTGTGACATCCTCGTCCTGAAGGATGATGCGAGCCATCCTACCCTGCCGCCATTCTGTCACACACACACACACACACACACACACACACACACACACACACACAC